AGGCTCCAGGCTCGCCCGGCACAGGGCCCGAACTCAAGAGCTGTGAGATCATGACCTGAGCTGAAGTCAGATACTTAACCAGCTGAGCCACCCAGGTGCCACCCCCTCTCCCCCCCGTCCCCCACAAAAAATTTTCCTTAGTCAAAAAAAAACAAAACAAAAACCAGTTAATGCAAAATGCAGGTATACTCTGCAGAGAGGATCAGGGAGGACAGAGCTTGAGGCTGTGCCGAGGAAGGGGCTCGGGCTGTAGGCGGAGTGCATGCGAGAAACAGAGGGAAAATGAAAGCCGGTGCCTCCGGGTAGAGGGCCACTTTACCTTGGGACCCTAGGTCTCAGTTTAAAATCATAGGTGGCAAGTAAAGTATTGAATGTTCCATTTTTCTAGATGACCCTGGGCCTTCTGGAAAAGTCAGTGTCCTGGGACCCATGGCGTAGTGCTGGCTGTGTCCTTAAGCCAGCTGGTTGGTCACTTGTTAAAATGTGCACCCCTGAAACCTGCCGGCCTTCTCTGACCCTGACCTGATGTGGCCTTTTAGCCCCAGCTTGGATTCTGGGGGTTGTGTGATGGGTAGTACCGGCCCCACCGCAGGCCTACTGCCTTTTCACTCCCCTTCCTTGTGATTCCCGTGCACACCGAGTGTGATGCGGTTGTGTCCTGGGAGGCAGCTCATTGGCAGCTTGGCCTTATCCTGGTTTGGACAAGTCTTTAGGACGGGCCCAGGGGATCCCCTGCCTTAATGTCAGAGTCACCTTCTTCTTAAAGACTTTGAGGAGCGTCACCACGATGTTGAGGGAAGTCACTTCACTCTGACCGTCTTGCCGGCTCTGGGGAGCATCCTCTGTCAGCCCCTCGTTCTCTTCCAGGGCACTGTAGCTCAGGGGATGGTCACAGACAAGACTCGGGGGCCCTAATGCAGATTTCTGGGGCTCTTGCTTGCTCTCTCCACTTACCCCCTCCTCTCCTTATACCCTGCCCTACAGTTCAGCCTCTTTGGCAGCCTCTGTGTCCACCATCCAAAGAGGCAGTTGCTCGCTGGGCTCCGTACCTGTGCCCTGGTTTGGGAGGGACCCTAAACAGAAAGCTGGAGCAGCTGTGGAGCTCGCTCACTTCTGGTATCTTGTTTCTCTCCAGGATCAGGGCTGTCCACTGTGCGGTTCCTGAAAACTGTTTCCTGATGTATTTTGTCCAGTCTTGTAATTGTTTCAGTGAGAAGATGAGCCCTAACTGGGGGTGGAGACCCCTAGAAGCCTGACTGTCCACCCCAGTGCCAGCTGTGGCCCAGCCCTGGGGAGGACAGAGAACTGAAAGCTTGGTCCCCAGATTATCACCAGCCCTCAAAGCCCAGGCCATTGGTGGTGAACGGCATCCTGGCCAGACCCTTTCCTCAGAGTCTACCCAGAATTTCACGGTGCAGGTGTTCTCTGTACACGCAAAGCCCGGCAGGTGCCTGGCACACAGTGGGCACTCACTAAATGCAGTGCAGTTCAGCTAGCAAGGACTGACTTAATAAACAGGAGCAAAAGCGGTTGAGACCCTTTCCTTTGGGCCATATCAGAACCCACTTGCTTTCATCCTGTGCTGGTACCTTTCTGAGCCACATCCTGTCTTCGAGTGTTGCAGGCCAGTTTCTTCAGAATGCGTGTAATGATTATATTAACACTTTCATGGCTGCCAAAGGCAGAGCGGTGTGGGAGCAAAGCTCAAGTTGTTAATTCACCTCTCAGTCAGAAGATAAGCCACGTTCCTTAATCTTTCCGAACCTGTCTCTTCCATGAACTGGGGATAATCTTTATCCTGAAGTGCTTTGTCAAGATGTCTTAAGATCATGTGCGCCATGCCCTAGAATAGTGTTCAGTACAAAATTTCAGTAATTCTGCTTCCCATCTGTTACTCTCTTTATCAGGAATTGGGCTTCCTCAGGAAAGCACAGGTAACCTAAATAGCGGTGTGATTTTGAAAGTGGCTCCAGCCTCACTGAGCTGTTTCCAGTCAAGCAGTCCTTCTGGAGATGGGTTAGCACTAGCTCAGGTGTGAGCTGAGAGCAAGCAGTGATGCTTCCTGGTGAATCAGGGTGGGGGCTCCTCCGGAGTGGACTCCCACTTCCCATGTCTGCCTGCTCCTCTCACGTGGCCGAGTGCCGGGCCGTCACCCACAGCAGAGGCGACGGCCATGGGGACCGAGCCAGAGCTTGTGAGGGCTGGATCATCTGGCAGCCTCTCCACTAGACCTGTTTTTCAACTCGAAGGAGACTATACTGGGTATGTTTGTATTTCCTGACCCAAAGTAGCCACTGACGTCAAGAATTACCTGTGTTGTTAAGTTACACCTTTGTGTTTTTCTGGTCTTTTGCTTTGCATACTGTTGGGCTTCAGAGAATAGTTTTACCAATTTTGAATCAAATTATAAATTTTCATATATATATAGCTTTATTTTGTTCCTGCAAGAGATTGTGAGTTACCCCTAATAGTGCATCCCTGTTTGTTCCTGAGGAAACTGAGGCCCTGATGTGTTAAGTGACTTGTCCCAGGTCACCTCTGTCTGCCACTTTTCCCCCTGTGCTGTGTGTGGCACTGGGGCGTGTGGGGTGGAGGCAGTGGGCAGCTGTGGAAGCTCCTCCAGCCGCATCCCTGTTTTTGTCCTCGTTACTTTGGTTTTCAGGCGATGAGGAGCATTTCCCTGAGAACATCAGCTGGATCGCATTGGAGTTTTAGGGTGCCTTTTATAGTAAGAGCCATGGCCATTCGCTCCTGAAACTTTTCATCTTTCCTGTAACCCTCACGTCTGGTGTGTGTGAAGACCTGCACCGAGCAGGTCTAAGGAGAGAGGACGCGGAGCGGCCCTGGGGTTGCTCAGACAGCCCGCGGGGAGGGCGCCAAGGGCTCTGACGGTTCCCCTCCCAGCGTCAGCCACTGAGCCTGCCTGCAGGAGGCACATGAAATGAGGCACCCAGCTTTTAACTCAGGCCTCAGGAGGGATACATGGGGAAGGTTAGGAAGGATCTGTTAGGAGACTGTGGAAATGCCTGTCGATGGTGCTCGATACCAAACCTATGTTGGCAAAACCCTTCATTCCAAAAAAAGAGACCAATTTTCTTTTTAAGATGGGAAGTTTTGGGGGTACCTGGGTGGTTCAGTCAGTTGGATGCCCAACTTCGGCTCCAGTCATGATCTCATGGTCTTCGTGAGTTCAAGCCCCACATCAGGCTCTCTGCTGTCAGCTCAGAGCCTACTTCAGACCCTCCGTCTCCCTCTGTCACTGCCTCCCCCTCCCCTCCCCCCTCTCTTTCTCTCTCCCTCGAAAACAAATGAACATTTAAAAAAAAAAAAAAAAAGGATGGGAAGTTTCTTGGAGCATCTGGGTGACTCAGTTGGTTAAACGTCCAACTCTTGATTTTGGCTCAGGTCACAATCTCACGGTTCACGGGATCAAGCCCTGCATTGGACTCTGTGCTGACAGCATGGAGCCTGCTTGGGACCCTCTCTCTCTGCCTCTCACCCATGCATGTGTTCGCTCTCTCACCTTCAAAATAAACATTAAAAAAAAAAAAAGAAAGAAAGAAAAGAAAGATTGGGAGTGTCTCTGTGGCTCCCAGATACCACAGGCCTGAAAGCTTCTGAATGGACGCTGTGAAAATGACCCTTAGTAAACATGGCGTAGAGAGGAGTTGAACATAATCAGCTGGAAGTGTCGGTTGGCACCTGTTCATCAAGGACCAGCCGTACGCATGGAACAGCTCTCTGCTTGCTGACCTGGCGCATTGTCGCCGGCAGTTACCAGTGGAGACGGCCCCTCGCTGGCTCTGCAGCCCTTGCTGAGTTCCTTTGCTCCTCGGCCTATTTCCTCATCTGTAAATAAGGAACATGATAGCGTCCACCTCATAGTTTTGTAGTGAAGAGTAAACGTGTCAATACATGGATGGGGCTCAGAGAAATGCCAATGCAGAGTGAGCGCTTTATAGACATTAGGCACTGATGTGTGCCTGAATCAGTGCTGTGGTCACCAGGCCGCCCCCCAGGCGCCTCACCAGCCTCGCCAGTGTCCTATTCCCCACGGGGCAGCGTTGAAGAGAAGGGTGTAATCACTATAGGGTTGTCTTCTACAGTCAGACGAAGACAAGCGTTTGGAATCTTGGACTACAGAAAGCCAGGTTTTGACAACTTTATGATTTGAAACCGTAAATTCGATATGCTTTTCTGTCTTGACTTAGTGGATTTTTTAATTCCTATGCCAAATGATGATTTAAAAAGATTAAAAAATAAAAAAGGGGGTTTATGCCAAAATCAGAAGCATTAACTCTGTTGTCTATATGGAAAGTTCCTTTAGAAAAAGTAGTTTTTATTTTTCAGCATATGTGTTTCTGAGAATTAACATGTTTTTAAATAAGGTATATAAATGAACTGTTTTAAGCAAGTCCTGAAAAGGTGCTCTTTACCTAGCTGCGGAGAGGCGAGGTTTGCAAGAAGTAATTTGGAAAGGGCCTCCTTAGAATGCTCACATGTCTTTGAAAAAGAAGTTAAAAAGCAAACATTTTTAATAATGTGGATTAATTTTAGGTGCTTGAAGTTATAACTTTATTCATTTTACTACTAGTAAACAGACTACCACTAGACTGTTACTCAAGTAATATAAATTATTATAAAAACTATTCAGACAATTTAGCCCATAGTGTTTTAAAATTCTTGGTCACTCTTAAAACAGTGGGAAATGAGCCATCAGTCTGGTATTGATACAGCACAGGGTAAAGATATGGTCAGCATTTAACCTTAGCAGTTGTTTGTAAAACAATCTGATCATCTCCAGGGACTTAAGTAATGAACAATGTGATATATAATCCCTTTCCCATTAAAAAAGAACTTAAAAACGTTATGGATCCAGGGAGCCCAACACACCACTCTGCTTCGTAGAGAAAGGTTTCTTCATAGCCAGTTTGGGGTCACGTTGTCCTGTGTGCGGGTTCCCCTTGTCCTTGTGCTCATGTCCCTCTTTCTGTTTTCAGTGATTTAGCCCTGCGGAATTGTTTCCTTACCTCGGATCTAAATGTGAAAGTGGGAGATTATGGGATAGGACTCAGCAGGTACAAGGTGAGCTGAGGTTTAAAGATTCTCTCCTGAAGCAGATTTGATTTCATAGTCACAAGGTGGTCATAACACAAATGCTACCCTGTTTGTCGAAGGAGAGTAAGAGTCTTGGTTACGTTGCCTTTCTGGGGAGAGGTTTGTTCATTTTAATGGTATTGTTGGCTTCTGATGTGCGGTTTATCTAAATGAGTGGCTCTGTGCTGAGAGGTTTTGTGAAGCTCTCCAAAGGCTTTGTGTAAAAAGGCTTTGTTACACAGTGTAATTGATATCATTTGATGGCGCATAATAAATTTTAGCATGAACCCTGGGCAATAATTCATGACCACCTATATCAAAAAATGTACTGTGCATGTCATAGCAGTATTTCTCCAGTAAAATTTTGTCCCAGATTGAATAAGGTTGGAATTTAGATTTTTATACTGCTATAAATATATCCCCTAAGAAAATAAGGAGTAGTTGAGGTTTTCACTTGTTTTTGTGTAGCCCAGCTGCATGAGGCGGCATGACATGGGGCAGAGAATATGACTGCCCTGGCCCCTCGCCATCAGCCGTGACACGAGGGTCATATCTGTTCTGTCTTACAGGCTCTTGTGAGGACCCCGGACTCATGTTTTCAAAGTATTTTGTAACCAAAGTGCATTATGCAAGTACAAGTTGGTTATTTGTCTACACAGTACCTCTAATGTCTCGAGCCCTTGTTGCTACTAGGCAGCACGAAGTAGTTGCTGGCATTATCTCATTTAATCCTCACCGTAAATGTAACAGATGAAGAAAAAGGCTTAGCATATCTGTTGCTTGCGCAGAGTCAGCCAGCCAGCTGATGCGTGGTTGAGCCCGGACTTACGGCCTAGTCTGTGTCATTCTCAAAGTCCGTGCTCGTGTTCAGTGACCGTAGGCTGCCCTACTGGGGGCATAAGGCCTGGCACATTTTACAGGATGTTGTGCTCAGAGCCTGTTTTCTGTGCATCAGATGTGGCATACCTTCCTTTTCCAGGAAGGATGACTAAGTGAGTGTTCAAGGCTCAGAGAGCAACTCGTGGAGCCCGGGAGGCTTCAGAGAAAAACCACACACACACACACACACACACACACACACACAGAAAATCTCTCTTCACAACCACTTCTTTTTCTGATATGTCTTTTGGGTTGAGTATATGTTTTCTGAGAATGACCTGGTTTATTAAATCATTGACTCACTAAAAAGTATAATAGAATTAAAAATTCTATATGCTTTCTAATAAAACAGGAGGATTATATTGAAACAGATGATAAAAAAATTTTCCCTCTGCGATGGACTGCTCCAGAACTAGTAACCAGCTTTCAAGACAGACTACTAACTGCAGATCAGACGAAGTATAGTAATATCTGGTATGTATGGATCTACCATTCCATTCGACTTTTGCGTAGCAAACGCCTAACTTTTTTCTCCTTGAGTACTTAAGGAAAAATAACTGAATAAGAGGTAGGAACATAGGAGTGCCTGATGGTGTGAAAAAGACAGTTTATCCTAGCAATTATCACAATTGTGATTAAATCATTAACTTTTCTCTTACCCGTTTAATAAGGTCGATAAAAACAGGAACCTGATCTGTTTTCTTTGTCAACTGTAGGGCCTACAGTATCATAGATGTTTTAAATATTTATTGAAGTGAATGAAAAAAACAGAAGTTTGGACCAGTATGTAATACAGTGATTTATAGGAGATCAATTTAATGGAAGCTGAAAAAATAATATGTCTACATCTTTGACTAACCATTTCTGTTACAGGTTTATTAATTTATATATACATTTTTTTTGTGATATTATCCTGCCTTTTCTATTTTCTTTTCCTTTTCCTGCCTTCATTTGGATTGATTTTTTTTTAACTGCTTTTTCCTGTTAGTTTGGGAGCTGTATACTCTAGTCCTGTACTTTTATTAAAAGCTACCCTAGAAGTTATAACACGTGCATTCCACTTATTTTAGTCTAGTATTATGTTTTGGGCCTTTCTGAACAATGCAAGGACCTCAGGATACTTTAACATACTTTAACTTGGTTTAACTATACACTCCCCCCACACGCGTGTGTGCACATGCACGCACACAATGTATGTTATAATTGTTGGGCATTTTTCTTTCTTTTACCCTAACAAGACATTATTGTTGTTGTTGTTTTTAGCATATTTTTGTTTAGGTTTATCCACATAATCAAATCTCTTTGCTCTTTGTTCTTTTTTCTTTTCTTTTTCCTTTTTTTTTTTCTTTTTTAAATCTCAGACATTCTGTCTAGCTTTTTGTCTGAAGTACGCCCTTCAGAATTTCCTGTAGTGAGGGCTTGCCGGTAACAGACCCTCAGTTTTTTATACATCTGAACATACCTTTATTTTGTCCTCATTTTTGAAATATATTTTTACTTGATGACAGTTACTTTCTCTCAGCATATTGAAGAGATCATTCTACTGTCTTCTGGCTTCCATTGTTGCTATTGAGAAGTCAGCTGTAAGTCTACCTAAGCTCTTTGAAGGTAATGTGACTTTTTCTCTCTGGCTGCTTTTAAACCCCTCCTCTCTTTTTTTTTTTTTTTTTGTAGTTTTGCTCTGATGTGTATGGGTGTGGATTTCTTATGTTTTTTCTGCTTGGGATTTATTTGGCTTTTTCAAATATGTAGGTTGGTGGTGTCCTCTGCCCTTACCCTTCAAGTACTGCCCCTGCTCCATTTCTGTCCTTTGAGAAGTCTAATGAGACGTGTGTTTCTGCCTTCTTGCTCGGCCTTCTGTCTCTTAATCTCTCCTCTATATATTCTCTGATTCTCTGTGCCACACTCAAGATAATTTTCGAGACCTGTGCTCCAGCTGATAATTCTTTCTCTTCGTAAAATTCTCTCTTCAGCTGTGTCTATTCTTCTGTTAAATCTGTCTACTAAGTTTTATAGTTCAGCTATTGACTTTTCAGTTTTAGGAAGTCAATTTGATTTTTTTCAAACCTGTCCCAGTGTTTTTAACAATGGGATTATGTTCCATATCAGATAATTCCAGTATCTGAAGTCTTTGCAGATTTGATCTTGCTGGTTCTTGATGCTGCCTTGTTTCTTGGGGTGAGGATCTTGGGAACCTAGAATTGAGGAGCATTCCCCCAGAGAGGATCTGCATTTACTTAACTTGTGTCGGGTGCTGGGGTGTTCTGCCATGTAAGGGAACTATGCCACTCCACGGTTTTACGTATTCAGCTTAAGGTTTCTTTTACCACTCAGGTGGTGTGAATTTGGGCTGCAGATCCAGTCACGGGCCAGCTCTGTGGTTCAGCTTGTTAGGGACCAACCCCTCCCTTACACATACACACTCTCACACACACACATACACTGACACAGTCAGAGCCCCTCAGCAGATGAGTCAGCTTGCCTTTCAGGCTCCTGGAGGGAGGGAGGGGCAGGCTTATTTTTACAGTGAGGCAGTCTCTCGGTGATTCCCTTTACCTTGGGCAGGCCCAGAGCTTTGGCCCATTTACCACCCACACCATCCCCATTGAGCCTTGTAAACCAAGACCACAAAAGCCCAAGTTCTGTTTTTCAGCAAATGCACCAGCTCAAAGGTGGTTCTATTTTTTTTTTTTTTTTAATGTTTGTTTTAGAGAGAGAGAGAGCGCATGAGTGATGGAGGAGCAGAAAGAGAGGGAGACACAGAATCCAAGGCAGGCTCCAGGCTCTGAAACTGTCAGCATAGAGCTGGTCAGGGGGCTCAAACCCTCGAATTGTAAAATCATGACCTGAGCCAAAGCCAGATGCTTAACCGACTGAGCCACCTAGGTGCCCTTCTAATTTTTTAAGTTTATTTATTTGGGGGGAGTGACAGAAAAAGGGGTGCAGAGAATACCAAGTGCTGACAGCATGGAGCCTGACGTGGGGTTCAATCCCACAAACCATGAGATCATGACCTAAGCCAAAATCTAGGGTCAGACATTCACCTGACTCATCTACCCAGGGGCCCCTCAAAGGTGGTTTTAGTATATTCTCCTTAGCTCTTCAAGTTCTAGAGTTTTCCCAGGTAATTCCACACTATCTTATACCATTTTTGATGCCTTTAAAAAGATAATTTTAATATTTTGTCCAAATTTTCCAATATTCCTAGCAGGGTGTTCAGCCTGAAAGCTTAGCCTGCGTCCTCAGACACAGACCCCGCCCCTTGTTTCTGACACTATGAGAAGTCTCTCTAGCGGTAGGGCTGGCAGTAGTGCCAACGCCAGCCTGCGACAGGGGCCACGCTGCCCTGTGCTGGGACTGAACGAGAGGGACCTCTCTCAGAGAATTTGCTGGAAGAGGGGATAAGACCCTACAGGATGTTATTCTCCCCAGAAGGAAGAGGCCAGTGGTACTCAAGGAGGCAAGAGCCAGTTCAAGGTGAAGAATTCAGTAGCTCAGGGTGAGAGGCAGTGACCGATGGCTGTCATCCGTGAGGAGACCGCACGGCGTAGCGCAGAGAGCTCCGGGGCAGGGACAGAACTTGCTGAGGAGACAATGTCTCATCTTCTCTGTGGCCTGTCTGAGGAGATGAGGAGGGGAGATGGAAAGATATTAGAAGTGGGGGGTGGGGAGTTGAGAAAGCCCATGCTTCATGTTTTCTGAAGAATAGAGTGAGCTGGGGGCTGGTGAGGGGTTTGGTTTTGGTCTTGGGGGAGGGAGAGGGAGTTTTAAATTAGGGATTTGAGGAATTGAGACAGGTAGGGTTATATGCCCAAGGTCACACCAACCGTGGCAGTGATAACACTCCTTTTGTCATTAATCATATACTACCTTTGGGTTTCATGTGAATTTCTTATTTTCCTCAGTTAAATTGTAGACTGACTCCCTAAAGTCATCCATAGTGTCTTAAACTTCTTTTGTATCTAGAACGACCCTCTGCCTCTGGCAAGTCAGTGCCAGGGAGGAGGTGAGTCTTACTTCTTGAATTGAGTTGTGAGCTTGGTGTCTATTTTGTTTCCTCTGATAGAAGTGATCTCTCAACTTAGATCCTGAATATGCTGATTCCTGTCACTGGTTTGTGAAGTTAGCATAGGGAAATTAACTCATAAGTTATATTGTACTATACAAGGTCAAATAATAAACTTATTTATTCAATCAGTTTATTATTCAAGCAAACATTCTAGAGGCATCAATCCAAGCCCTTGTAAACCATCGATGCCCAAACGTGGCTGGACGTTAGAGTCACTAGGAACCTTTTTTTTTTTTTTTTTAATGTACTTATTTTGAGAGAAAAAGAAATCGCGAGTGGAGGAAGGGCAGAGAGAAAGAGAGAGAATCCAAAGCAGATTCTGCACTGTCAGTGCAGAGTCCTATGTGGGGCTCAAACTGACAAACCATGAGATCATGACCTGAGCCGAGGTCGGACGCTTGACTGCTTGACTGACCGAGCCACCCAGGTGCCCCTTTAAATGCAGCTTCCTAGGCTATACCTACATTGTCAACTGAGAGTCTGGGGACAAGGGTGGGTCCTAAGTACCTGTGTATTCCCAGATGACACAGGTAGCCAGCCAGGTCTGGGAGCCAATGCAGTAACGAGGAGGTCCTGCTGTACAACCCAGGGCAGTGAGCGCTGGGGTAGAGACACAGACTGCGTAGAGGAGGTGGAGAGTAAGTGCACGTCTCACAGAGCCGCAGAGGCTGCGTCCGTGGCAACAGAGGACTTGGCGTGAGGGAGAGGGACAGGTGCCAGGAAGGGGCATTGCCTTCTGCCCGTGGTCACAGCCGCGTAACTGGCGGCACGGGGAGGCTCAGGTGGGTGGCCTCCTCTGGCACACAGGTAGCTGGCAGAAGGGTGGGAAGGGGTTCCTTCATACCAGCAACAAAACGCAACTGTTTACTACTGTCAGGAGTGGGATTTTTTTTTTGGTCCACCTCAGGATATTTATCTTGTATCTCACCATGACTCTTAAAGTCATTCTAAAGATCTTTCAAAAAATTTCTTGAGTTTCAAAGTTGACAGTTACATTAGCTCTTCTCTATAATCATGCCTGTTATCTGCTTAGTTTTTTCTTTTTTGCGTTGGCCCAAACTTCTGGAGTACCCAATAGCAAATGCAAGGAGGCAAACGTGTCCTCATTGTATTGAAGATGGCTTTTTAAAAAAATCACATTAAAGAGCTATCTGTAATAACCTTTTCAGTACACACCTTGTTCTTAAAGTCACTAATGAACGTACAAATAAAAATGTGGGTGTTAAAGACTCAACATCTAAAGAGAGGAAGAAATGACCTTTTTCTCTTTGCCACAGGTCCCTGGGTGTGACGCTTTGGGAGCTCTTCGATAATGCTGCTCAGCCTTATTCCGACCTCTCCAACTTAGATGTTCTCAATCAGGTCATTCGAGAGAGAGACACAAAACTCCCTAAGCCCCAGCTGGAGCAGCCTTATTCTGACAGATGGTAGGTAGCTCCACTTTACGTTTTGTGGTCCTCAGAAGGTGAGGACATCCTCTGTGGGTGTTAGTTGTGTAGTCCCTGTTTGTATTCATTTGTTTGTTTATTTTTATTTTTTGGTTATCTTAGAGAAGGAGCACCACTGGAGGAAGGGGCAGAGGAGAGGAGTGGGGAGAGAGAGAGAATATGAATCTTAAGCAGGCTCTCATTAAGGAGCCTGACACGGAGCTTGATCCCATGACCTTGGGATCATGAGCTGAGCCAAAATCAAAGTTGGACTCTCAACCTACTGAGTCACCCAGACACCCCAGTATATTCCCCATTTTTAAGTGATAAATGTTGTGAAAAGCCAAGATTTGTGTATTATTGACCACTGATTTTAGAATTAACATATTTTTTAAATGTTAATGTTATTTTTGGAAAAAATGTGTAGAACAGGTAGGAATTTATTCTGTGCAATAAGAGAAAATGTGAAGTCTAAAGCAATTAGAAAAGTCAATATTAAGGGAGTCTCCTATTGTGGAATTGTTATAAAATGAAGCTATTTTGCGGTTGCCTGGGTGGCTCAGTCGGTTGAGCATCCAACTGCGGATCAGGTCATGATCCCACAGTTCATGGGTTCGAGCCACGCTTCGGGCTCTGCTGACAGCCCAGAGCCTGGATCCTGCTTCGGATTCTGTGTCTCCCTCTCTCTCTGCCCCTCTTCCACTCACACTCTATGTCTCTCAAAAATAAATAAACTTTTTAAAAATGAGGCTGTTTTTGTAAGTGATACCTAATATGTGAGAAAAGAGCATAGGAAGGATAATATTTAAATTTAAATTGGCAGAGGAAGCTAATTTGCATAGTGCATGTTGACATTTGCAAAACAAATTTACTTCTTATTAGTCTTCAGACCAGTTCTTACTCCATTTGCAGTCAGGATCACGTTCACCTCTTTCTAAGCCTCCGTCTACACCACTACCTGCCCAGTAGGCATTGCCTATGCAGCGTGGCAACCCCATGTAGGCATTGCTCAGCTCCCCAAGCTGCTCGCACTGTCTCACCCAGAATAACTTGACGTATACTGTGTACAGTTAATACTTGAAAGTTGGCTTTGTCTTCCCTTTTGTTCATGGCTCTACTGTAAGATGTTGGCTCTATCCAGCCAACCCTTCAAAGACCCAGCTCCTGCTTGCTCTCTTTGGACTTCATTTTCTGCGGTTTCCCTCCACTTTCAGCCACTTTCATGATCTAAGGAAACCATGTCCTACATAAGATTATAGTGTTACTTTTTATCGGGTAGGAGAATTAGAGGTCAGTTACAACTGCATTTGTCTCTGAGAATTCTTACAAAATAAAGTGAGTAAACCTAAACATGCAAGACAAGTGCATTCTTCACAGAACACTTTTGGCAATTTTTTAAAGAGGAGATCACATTAAAGCTGTTTCTAAATTCAGGGGATAAGTCACTGGCTAAACACTCGGAAAATGACAAACCCTGGTACTGGGAAATGTCCTGGGAACACAGAAAATTAGTAGGCCTGATGTTTATATTTCTTCATTTCCTCTTCCACCACAGTCTCTTTCACCATGAACCAAGGTCCTTCGTGTGGTTGACAGTAATTATAGCATAGAAACTTCCGAGGTGCCGAGTTGGCTTAGGAGGCCTTGTGAAGTCCTTTCTTATTTTAAAGCAGTTTACCTTCATTCCATTAATTACCTCTGAATTGTTGCTCAGGTATGAAGTCTTACAGTTCTGCTGGCTGTCCCCGGACAAGAGGCCTGCGGCTGAGGATGTGCATAGGTTGCTCACCTACCTGCGGATGCAGAGCCAAAGGGACTCCGAAGTCGACTTTGAGCAACAGTGGAATGCTCTTAAACCAAATGCAGATAGCAGAGACACCTCAAGTAATGCCGCGTTCCCAATCCTGGACCACTTTGCCAGGGATCGGCTGGGCCGTGAGATGGAGGAGGTCCTCACCGTGACTGAGACCAGCCAGGGCCTGAGCTTTGAGTATGTCTGGGAGGCAGCTAAGCATGACCACTTTGATGAGCGCAGTCGGGGTCCCCCGGACGAAGCCTTGTCCTACACAAGCATCTTCTTTCCAGTCGAAGTTTTTGAGAGTTCACTTTCAGATCCTGGGCCGGGGAAACAAGATGACAGTGGCCAGGATGTGCCCCGCGGGGCCCCCGGAGTGGTTCCTGTTTTTGATGCCCACAACCTTTCTGTTGGAAGCGACTATTACATCCAGTTGGAAGAAAAAAGCGGTAGCAACTTGGAGCTTGATTACCCACCTGCACTGCTCACCACTGAAATGGATAACCCAGAAAGGATAAGCGAGGAGGCGCCCCAGTTCCTGACACTCAGGAACCTTGAATTAGAGGAGTCCAGTACAGATGAGGATTTCTTCCAGAGCAGTACAGACCCCAAAGATTCCAGTGCACCCGAGGACGTACAGGTCCCCAGGGGCCCTGAGAGCCCTTTCAACAGTATATTTAGCGATCTTGACAAATCAGAGGACTTGCCCAGTCACCAAAAAATATTTGACTTAATGGAACTAAACGGAGTTCAAACTGACTTGAAGCAGACCGCTTTAAGTTCAAGTCTGGATGACTCCAGAGAGTCCGTCATAACATGCCACTTTGAGAAGGAAAACCCCCGTAAGCTTTTTGACTGCGAGCCTCTTTGCTTATCAGAAACCCTTATACACCAAGATAATTTTGATCCACTGAACGTTCAAGAGTTATCAGCAAACTTTTTGTTTCTTCAAGAGAAAAACTTACTAAAAGACTCCCTGTCCAACAAAGAACATATTAATGATCTTCAAACAGAACTTAAAAACGCTGGCTTCACCGAAACGATATTAGAAACTCCACATAGAAACTCTTTAGACCTTGAAGTTAAGTTTGCCGAGACTAAAGCAGCCTTTCCCTTGCTGCAGGAAAGCCTCGGCACAAAGGGAGAAGATACAGATGTCGCGCTTGAGGACAACACTTTGAACACCTCGTTACGGTCTTCCCCAGAAGTGCAGGTCCCTCCTACCTCACTGGAGACAGAAGGGGCATCTCCTTGCTTCCCTCCAGACACCCTCCGGAAGCCCGGAGAACCCACAGGCCCGGATGTCCGTGGCCGCGAAGACTGTCTCTGCCAAGAAATAAATCCAGGCCCTGAGACCATCATGGTAGGAACTCTCGCAGCAGATGCCAGAACACACGGCGTTGGTGACGGGTCCCAGGACCTGACCCACCAAAGTGAAGAGGCCTTGAGACCGACCAAAAGGGACTCGGTCCTTGCTGATGACATTTTTGCCAATAAGGTGAGTATAGGAAGTAGTGTTCCAGAATCAAAACAGAACCTGGAACATCAGCCAATCTTGGAAGATTGCCACAGTGATGACGTGCTGGAGAGAAGCTCAGAAGGTGTGGACTCCCGGAGTGAGCGGCACTGTGAAGATGCTGCAAAGGAGGGGGGCCTGGTGTCCGCCCTCTCCTCAGACTCGACCAGTCAAGACAGCCTTTTAGAAGAGAGCTTGTCAACACCCATTCCGACCTCGGAACAGTCTGTGGAGACCCCGGACTCTCTGGATTCAGTGGATGTTCATGAAGTTTTATTGGGTTCCTTAGGCTCTCACACTCCCCAGAAACTCGTGCCCCCTGATAAGCCTGCAGATAGTGGCTACGAGACAGAGAACTTGGAGTCCCCAGAATGGACTCTGCACCCCGCCCCCGACAGTGCCTCAGCCCCAGAGGCAGCCATGGCGGGCGATGGCAGCCCTGGCACTCCGCCCCCCAACCCAGTCATTGTCATCTCGGACGCAGCCGACAGCCACAGAGGTACAGAAGTGGCCCCACAGACTTTCGCGCCTGGCTCTCAGAGCTCATACCGTGACTCTGCTTACTTCTCAGATAATGACTCTGAGCCTGATAAGAAGTCCGAGGGGGTCCCGGGACCCTCGGCCTCGGCCTTGGTAGTGGTAACGGACCAGCCCCTGCCTGAGCCGGTCGCGCCAGAGCACAGCCCTGGTGCCACGGACAGTTGCCTGGAAACCAGACACAGCCAGCCGGACCAAAGTTGTCTCCCTGCTTTGCACAGTCCCGGTCACCCGGAGTCCGAAGAGTCGTCGGAACCGGCACCAGGCGATGTCTCCAAGCAGACTCCGCCTCTCGAAGATGAGGGCGGTAGCCCCTTGAGTTTGGGGAACTCCGAGCTGAGCAGCAGCGAGGACTTGGAGGCACCAGAGGAGCGCCCCTGCACGCTCGCTTCCACCGGAACCAACACCAATGAGCTCCTGGCCTTTGCAAGTGCCGCCCTGCGCCCCAGCTGCGCAGCGGACCTGATGGCCGAGAAGTCCTCGTGCGACCGCTCCGAGGGCCCCAAGCTGAAGGAGCCAGATATCGAAGGGAAGTACCTCGGGAAGCTGGGCGTGTCAGGTATGCTGGACCTCTCGGAGGACGGCATGGATGCAGACGAGGAAGACGAGAACAGCGACGACTCGGATGAAGACCTGCGGGCGTTTCACCTGCACAGCCTGAGCTCCGAGTCGGAGGACGAGACCGAGCACCCCGTGCCCGTGATCCTCAGCAACGAGGACGGGCGGCACCTGCGGAGCCTGTTGAAGCCCACTGCCACTGTCGCCATTGACCAGCTACCGGACGACTGGAAAAAAGAAAAGAAGGCGGTGACATTTTTTGATGATGTCACAGTCTATCTGTTTGACCAGGTATCTGTTAACTTCCAAGCATTGTCATATTTGGGAACTCCAAAACGTGTTGGGAAATTTGAGTGCGCCTTGTTTTTCTGATTGACATTTTAAGGCCACAGGCTGTTTTAGGGTTCATCAAAAATAGGAATTTGGGGTTGGTTACAATTCCAAGGATGTGCAGAAATGTAGGTGGGACAGGGAACTCCTATTCAGTTACGGGAAGGAGACCTGGATGCCCTTTCCGGGTCTCCTGGCAGAGTAGGACCCGAAGTCAACTGCGCTTTACAGGCCAAATTTCCAAAATCCGACAACTGGAAGTAGCAGTCAGCACACCAGTGCAGCTGGGACAGTGCATGACCCACAGGGAGCCCCGGAGTTGCTGGTTACCGGCCATCGCTGTGGTCAGGACCAGGGAGTGACAGCGGCAGCTTCCATGGCCCTCCGGCTCTCTGGTGCCTGAGCTCAGATTTCAGCCTCTTTAAAGATGGCGAGTTGAAGGTTTTCTTGTATCTGTTACTGATTTCTAGTCTGTTATGGTCAGAGAGCATGTCTGATACGGTTTCAGTTCCTTTATTCTTTTTACTTTTATTTATTTTTTAAAATTTACATCCAAGTTAGTTAACATATAGTCATTTCCTTTCAACTTAGAAAGATTTGTTTTGGAGCCAGGCTACTGTCTGTCTTGGTGAATGTTCCACGTGTTCTTGAAGGAACGTGCCTGCGTGTCAGTTAGGGCTGGATGGTGGGCAGTGCTCAGTTCCTCTGCACTACTGCTGCTTTTTCTGCAGGCTGGTGGGTTCCATCTGTGGCTGGAGAGAAGAAAGGTGTTGAAGTCTCCAACTGCAATTCGGCATTTGTCTCCATTTGTTAGTTTGTGCTTCCTCTGTTTGGCAGCTCTGTTAGCCACATGCACATTTAAGATCATTAAATCTTGTTGTTGATGTGACCTTTTACCGTGACAGAATGTCCCTCTTTATTCCCTTGTCTGATACTTGTATAGCCACTCTAGCTTTCTTTTGATCGGCATTTGCATGATATCTCTTTCTTCACCCTTCTGCTTTCAGTTGTACTGCAGGTATCATGATGTATGACCTCAGTTTCTTGTGAATAACAAATCGGTTTTTAAATCTCTTCTGAAAAATCCTGTCTTAATTGGTGGTTTTAGGCCACTTACATTTAATAAAATTAGTCTTGTTTGGATTGTGGCATACCATTTTATTCGTTTCTGTTTGTTCCTCTGTTCGTATTTCTTGCCCTCTTTGGCAATTTAAGCACTTTTTAATATTACCTTTCAAATTATCATTGCATTTTTTACTGTGTATCTTAGTAGCTTTTATCATGGTCTAGGGGACTAAAATATACATAACTTGTCACGATCTACTTAGATCAGTACAGTGCCATTTCCAGTGGAAAGCACAAACTTCATTACTACTGTCTGGTTTATTCCACGTGCTTACACTGAAAGCCTGTCAGATGGTGCTCTGCGTGATCAGTGTTTCCAGTGATCAAGTGTATTTTAAGAAACTCAGAAGGAGACAAATTGGGTTCTGCTTATCCAGACAGGCCCTACTGTTTCTCTGTCTTCATTTTTGATGTTCCAGGATCTTTCTGGTATCATTTCCCTTCTGTTTGAATAAGTTTGGCTTTTTTTTTTTTTTTTCAATCAAATCTACTGACAAATTATCTTAGTTTCCCTCACTCCTTAAGGATATTTTCTCTGAATCCACAGTTCAGAGTCGACAGCTCTCTTCTCTCAATAGTATTATGTCTGGTTGCTGTCAGGACATTTTTCTTTTTCTTTTTTTAATGCTTTATTATTTATTTCTGAGAGAGAGAGACAGCGTGAGCAGGGGAGGGTCAGAGAGAAAGGGAGACACAGAATCTGAAGCAGGCTTTGGGCTCTGAGCTAGCTGTCAGCACAGAGCCCAACACAGAGCTTGAACCCACGCACCGTGAGATCATGACCTGAGCTGAAGTCAGACGCTTAACGGACTGAGCCACCCAGGCGCCTCTGTCAGGGCGTTTTTCTTTACAAAATTCCCTTTTCCTCTTAGCAACTTGATCGTGAGCATGGATTTCTTTGAGTTTACTCCGTCTCAAATTTGCTGAGCATCTTGAATCTGTAGTTTTATGACTTTCACCAGATTGGAGAAATTTTCAGCCATTATTTCCCCAAATGCTTTCTTTGGTCACACTCTGGGTTCCCTCCTCTAGTGCTCCTGGATCAGACCGTTACGTGTCTGTGGCCTATTGGCTTTTTCTCCAGGGTCTGTTTTCATCATTATTCAGACGAATCATTTCTCTTGATCGCCTTCAGATTCAGTTATTCTTTGTCATCTTGCTATTGAGTCCATCCAGTGGATTTTTAAGTTCTAGGTAGCGTATTTTTCTGTTTTCAGATTTGTACGTGGTTCTTATTTTTATCATCTGTTCTTTTGCCAAGACTTTTCTCTGTCAACATTCATTTCGAGTTGCTTGTAGGAACGTTTTCATAAAAGGCTTTCAGACAGTCCCAGCATCTGTGTCACCTTGGCATTGGCCTCTGTGAATTGAGGTTTCCCTGATTTGCTGGATGCAGAGTGATTTTTCAACCGTATCCTTAGTGTGTTTATGATTCTGTTCTTGTTTAGATTCTAAGGAGAATGCTGATATTTTTGGTCTGGCAGGCATTGACCCATTGGGGTCCGGGTTTGTGAGTTCCAGCCACCTTGTGTGTGCTGGGGGTTCCCCGTTCCAAGCTTTTGCTGTATTGTTCGAACCTGTGCTGTGCACGTTTCCCCCACTGGCCAGTAGTCTGGCCTGCGATTCAGTTCCCAGAGCCTGTTGGTGTGCTGTTGACAGTCAGGTTTACCGTGCACAGCTCGGAGCTAAGGCAAGAGCTCATAAACTTGATAGGGTCACTTTCCCAAGCTCCTCCCTGTCTGTGCTGTCCCTTTTCCGACATCTTGAGCCCCCCCTTTTCAGTGCCACAGCTAAACATCTGGGGCTTTCATTAGCACATGACGCTGCAAACGATGCCACTGTGCAGACAGAGAGGAAGACAAGCGACAGGGCTTCTCCTCACTCTCAGCTTCCCCAGGGGGAGAGGGCGTTCACCCCCCTCAGAATTCTAGGTGCCTGCCCCCGCCCCTCCGCCCCCCGGGACTGTTCGGGGCTAGGGAGCCACAGATGGAGGAAGAAGATCTGGAATTCCCCTGCCGGGCATCAGAAGATCTCCTTCCTACTTTAGAACCAGGACCAAAGGCTTCTGGAACTCTCTCCCATTACTGTGGCTCTCGAGCTGTTGAGGGGGCAGCCGGGGGGTGCGTCTGCTGCTGCACGCGAGTTCTTCCCCAGCCTGCCTGCCACTGCTTACTCTCCAGGGACCCCCGCAGCCACTTCAGGATGCTGCCTGGGTCCCGGAGCTGCTCCGGTGGGACAGACAGGGCTGTGAGTTTTGTCGCACCTTCCCCGGGCCCGAGCCCACCCTGTCGGAAGATGAGCATTTTACGGCTGATCAGCGAGACGCGTGCGCCGGCGGACTCCCACTAGCCGGCCTCTGCTGACGGGAATTTCTCTCTGGCTTTTCAGGAGACCCCAACCAAAGAGCTGGGGCACTGTGGAGGAGATGCCCACGGCCCCGAGTTGAGCAGCCCGGCCCCGTCTTCAGGTTCTCCCTACCTGAGCAGGTGCATAAATTCCGAAAGCTCGACTGATGAAGAAGGTATTTCCCTTCATTGACGGGTTTAAAAGGAAACTAAAATTGCATTGTAAATAAGGGAAACTTTTGTGGAGGGTGACATCATGTACTGCTTTAAATGACATTGTGAGGACATGCAGGGAGCAGCCCTGCCACCTGTCGGGCCCGAGTCGGTGTTGGTTGATATGCGTGGCACACTCGTGTGTGCCCTCCTCTGTCTGCTATTTATGACAAACTCAGAGAAGGAAAACTGGTTTGTATTTGTTTTCCTTCTAGGTGGAGGCTTTGAATGGGATGACGACTTCTCCCCAGACCCTTTTATGGCAAAGACAACAAGTAACCTTCTTAGTTCCAAGCCTTCTCTTCAGACATCTAAGTACTTCTCACCGCCTCCGCCGCCACGGAGCGCGGAACAGAGCTGGCCTCACACCCCGCCGTATTCCCGATTCTCCATCTCACCCGCCAACATCGCCAGCTTTTCTCTCACTCACCTTACTGACTCGGACATCGAGCAAGGAGGTGAGAGGGGCGCTGTGTGTCCGGGAGGGCTGGGCGTCAGCCTGCAAGACCTTCCCCGCTGGACTTGAATGCTTGCTGACTTGGTGCCTTCCTGGTGTTTGCGGAGTAGATTATGAAACAAAATCCCTCAGAAAGCTCTCTCAGTCCAAGAGCTCGCTCTCGGGGCCACAGCCCCTGCCTGCAGGCCTCTGTCACTCCACAGGCTGAGCGCCACTTGGGGTGTTCCCTCGCTGACCCTGTTGGGCCGGGTGGCCCAGACTGACGGCCTAGCCACAGGTCCCTGAACTTGTCCAGGGTGCTGCCACCTTCTTTTCTCCTTTTTACCCCTTTTGGCCACAGCCCTGCTCCCCCCACCCCCACAGGAAGAAGCCGCTTACGCTCTTCGGAACACTTGGCCGGAGATTTTGGGATCGAGCCCAGATGTGCTCTGGTCCTTCCCCGGGAGTATTGATTTTGCCATTAAGTCTCCGTCTTGTGCGATAGCAGAGGTCTGGGTGGGAAGTCATGGGCAGGGCACATTTGAAGTGGTATTATCTCAACATACGGGTCCTTTTTTTCCCTATAACTAGATTGGGGGGTGAATGTTAATAGGTATGTTTTTTCGATTCTGAAGTTCGAAGTTCAGATAACCACCATGAACCATAAAGAGCTCGTGTTTGTGTTTGTGCTGTGTAATTGTGCCGATTAGATAACACCCATTCCCTACGATCTGTCAGAGATCAGAGCCGGTTATCTCCTGCGCCCTGAGTGAGGACGCTGAGCTGCGTGTGAGCTGAGCAGATGTGTGCGCGAGAGTCTGGCAGGTGCCGCTGGCACAGGAGGAGCACCCGCGGCCACAGCAGGTGGTGGGCAGCCGCACTCCAGGCATCAGTTCCTCTTTCTGTGGCACAGCTCAGGTGCCGCCCAGGCTGTTTTTATCTGGGACGGTCACCGCCTGAACCCAGCTTTGCTTCTCTCTCCTCAACAGGAAGCAGCGAGGATGGAGAGAAGGATTAGGTGGCCTGATGCACGCTTGGGCCCCGGGCTGCTCTCCGTGGGTGGCATTCCGGCGCTGCAGCCTGGCGGTGACTTCCCCTCGACAGTGTGACGGCATCAGCTGCAGCGGGTCCGGCCCAGGAGAGAGACTCGGAGGCCCGCAGGGAGCCGGGGAGGCCCCATGGCTGCTCGCACCCTGGTTGCCCTCGGGGGGCACTGCCCCCGCTCTGCTGTGTGGGAGCTGTAGGCTCCGGGCCATTTCCAGTTTCCCTGCAGGGGTGTCATCCATGTCCACGTCTGCGCATCCCTGCTGCGCACGAGGGCCCGGAGGATCCCGATGGGAGCGGGCGCCTGTGAGTGAGGCATATTTATTACTTGTAAAGAAATCACTACTTGCTTTCTGTAATTGCACTGTGGGTAGGTGTTCTCTGAGTACCGATACTGTACAGAATCTTAAATTATTCGAGGACAATAAGGCAGGTCAAGCTGGTGCAACCCACTAGTTTGATGGTTTCCTCTGTTTTATAGTTTGTTTGCTCTGCATGGTACTTGTAAAGCTTAAATATTTTGAGTGTTCTGCTGTCTAGAATTGTTGGAATTGTACATATGGTACTTTTTCGTACATGATAAATGATTCCGAATGTTAGTGTTTTTTTGTTCCTACAGGAAATATTTTTGATGAGTACAAAAAGACTGTTTTGTTGACCGAATGGAACACACGTTTGTCTCTTTCTATAACGCAGGTTCCTTTTAGCAAGGGAGGCTTCCCTGAGGCGGTGAGGGGTCTGCAGCCCCTCCGTGTGCTTCTCCCGCCCCACCCCGCTCCCTGACTTTGTAAACCCTTTCGGTAAAACTTGACAGGCTGTTCACCCCAGGACTCAGCCGCGGGGTAAGGTCCAGGTCTCCTGTCCCCCTCCCCGGGGAGCCGAGTGCCCGCTCCCCCCGTGTGTGCTCTGGGGTGGCCCCTGCACCACATCACCTCACAGCCGGCTCTTCTGCTTGTTGTCTGGGAGCGTGGCTGCTGTGGCTTCAGCGTCCCCGTAGACAGTCTGGGGCTCTGAGAAAGAGCTGCCGTGTGGGGCTCTTGTCGCCGAGGACGGTCTGAGTTCCTTCTGTCTGTACACATTAGGTGGTGAGCTTTTAAGTAACGTAGAGCGGGCTGTCCCCTCAAGAACCACCCCGCGTCATGGCCAGGCGTGGCTGCTCTCCGTCACCAAGGAGTTAACACTACATCCTGCAGCCGGGAGGAGGGACGAGGGATGATGGCGGAGCCTGCGCAGCCAGCATGTCCTCCCAGTTGGGGCCTGGGGCGGCCACGATGGCCGTCACACCCAGACGCGGCCCCGGGCCTCATTTGCACTGACCCTTCCCTTCTGCATCAGCACCTCGTTCTCCCCTCGCCTTGAAAGGGACTGAGTGTGTCGAACGTGGCCTCCCAGCGTTGGCAGGAATTGGTGTTTGGGATAAAAAAGCTGACCTCATCTGCAGTCTGTGAGTTCGTGCCACGGCTGAGGGAGGCTTGGTGTGTCCGCCACGAAGCCATGTGTGTCGGGGGTCTGACCTCGGGTCTGTGGCTCCCACACAGTGGCCCCTCACCCCACATGTTTTCCGGTGCTGATTTGCTTGCCCGACTCCAGCGCCACACAGGTCCACTGGGCTGTGTGACAGAAGTCCCAGCAGCTCTGGTCCCAGTGGGAGTTGCAGGTGTGGGTACTGGCTGGAGTTTATGAAGTAAATGATGACCTTGATGATCAGTTCTGGCTCAGTCCACTAACTTTTTATACCTAGCAATAACCTTCCCGAGCGAGAACTCAGACTGGAGAGAGAGAGCCCCCTTTATCCTCCGCGTGGTGTGAACAGGGGGAGCACAGCGGGGAGAGCCAGGCCCATGGCACACAGCCGGGAACCCACCGTAGGGCATTAGAAGGTGATTTTGCCAAACTGTCATAACTCTGCATTTCTTGCTGTGGAGCCTTCCTGAGATTCCTGAATTTTTACATCTAACTACCAGTCTTTGTGAGGAGGTCAACGAGAGGTGGTGATTATACAAGTTTTTTCAAACTCTAAGGAGTTCAGATTTAATGACTGAAATCCAGCAGATCCATAGAATATATAGTCTTATACAATCAGCCCGGGATAAATTTATAGGTATTTGGGGGCTGTATCTTTTTCACTATGATTAAGGAGATTTTAACAACCTAATTCCCATTTTAACTTAATTTAAATCTATATTGCTGTCATGATTAATTGCCAAAAGAAAGCATTTTCTACACTGAGTTGGGGGGTGGGTCTGAGTAGTAAATCTTACTGTGGTGTTGCATGGCGGGGAAGATTTTATATATATAGTACACATGTGAGCTAACACGTTCTTTTGAAATCTCAAGCAATACACAGGAAAACCAATTATGTAGATTAAAATTTTGAGCCCGTCTTTAAAGCATCAGCATGTGCTTTTGTTGTTCAGTTCCGTTGTTTTGTTTTGTTTTTGGCTTCCCCCCTCCCCCCTTTTACTATGTCGGTTACTAATAGCAGGTTTTCAGACCAAACTGGTCCTGAGAAGTTATGCGATGAAATAAATCAGTGGAATTCTCTAGATAATACGTTTGGGGTTTAAAATGCCTGGTCCACCGTGGTATTTCCTGGCCTCTTTTGGAGTCTTACCAGGTTTTGGTTAGTGTTACTCTGGTGGAGTTTATGTATTTTAAAGCCCAGAATAAAAATAATCTCACCTTCATTTCCTTCCTAGCTAAATGTCCATTTTGTGTTATCAAATGATCGTGTCATAAGCCAGAAAAAGAAATGTAGAAAAAGTGCTCCCCAAATCCTTCTGGAACTTGGACCGTGTGTGTGGGTAAGAAGCCATTCATCTTCACGGTGAAGGAGCTCTACTAAGCTGAATTGAAACAGAGCATCTGTTCTATTTTTAAACGCACAGGTGATTGTTTCTATAGAAATGGGTTTTATCTCCGAAAAGTCTTTGTACATCTTGCTGCCATAAAAACGCCTTTCAGAACCTCTCCCTTGTCCCTGGTGGTCTAGTGGTTAGGATTTGGCGCTCTCAGAACCTCTCCCTTGTATCAATATTTCTGTAGGGTGCTTATAGGGCTAGTGACCTACTGCATGTCCGTCCGGAGGGCCCGAGGCTCGAGGGGGGCAGCTCCCGGCTGTGTCCTCCCCAGCCCCCCCATCATCGGAAAAGCCCGGAAGTGAACCCAGTGTTAGGCTCCAAATGTCAGGCCCCGGTGACAGGGGCTTCAGGACAGTAGCCTTATGAGAAGTAGCCTTAAAATAAGATTGGGCCACACAGTTAACTTCAGATTTCAGTCTCCTCCACAATATTCCTAACGGTAACGGGGTCGCCTCAAGTGTTGGCTGTTCACAAAGCAGCTTCTCTCCAGTACATAAATTCCGCGACGTGTAGACAGTATTGAACTACCAACAACCTGTTACGGGAGCGGCCTGGACGTGTCTGAGCCGCTCGGGCTCACATGGCGCAGACAGACCTTCCTGACCGGCCGGTGTGCGAACCCACTGTTGGATTCCGTCCGCAGATAAGGACCCCCGGGACAGTCCACCCACGCGGCTTCCCTGTCGTGCTTAAACACAGTTGTGAGAGGTTCACGGCAATATAACCGCTAATGAACTTTCAGTTTAAATTGTGTACATTTTTAAATTGTAAGATTTTTACTGTATATTGATGCATAGTGTGATTCAATAAATTGCTTGTAATTTAAAAACTATTTAATATTCAAAATAAATATAGTTATATATTTATAAACTCTGTTGTGGCGTTTATTTCATGTTCTTCTACTGTGCGAGGCCTGGAGTGTGTGACCAGGCACTTCCCTGCGCAGGCCGTCGCAGTGGGTGGCCCAGCCAGTGGCCCTGGGACACACACACACACAGTATGCCTTTTCCGTTGGAACTAAGATTTGTATCATCACTGGAAAACTGGACTTTGATGTAGTGACACTGCTGCCTCAAGGTGGATCTGTAATTCGAAGCCTTTGTCCTTATTGATGAATTTCAGAAGCCTTTTGAGATACAGCCTCTAATGAGCTGTAAGCCAAGAGGCTAATCAGCTCAACACCAGCCTATGGCCGGTGGACCTTGGCCTCCTTCATCACCCCGACCATGCTCCCCCTGCCCAGCTGCCCAGAGAGCAGGGACAGCCTCCCACCAAGCAGGCCTGGCCCCCACTCCAGTCACGCCAACTCCCTTGAGACCCCCAGGGAGTAGGTGGAGACCTACTAGTGCCCCTCTGGGCACCTCCAGCAAGTGCGAGATCTGTGCCAACGACCCCTGAACCTGCTGGTCACAAGGGGTAGGAGCCCAGGCACGGTCTGCCTGCTCTGCCTGCACTCCGGGTGCACCCCATCAGTCCAGAAGAACCCCTGAAGCCAGAAGCTTTTAACACTTTTTAGTGCCCCTGTAAAAGGGAAGGAAACTCAGGCAGGCAGGCGTTTTAGGAAAGCGGGTGGGTGGGAGCCAGGTTTAAGCCCATGCTGACCACCTCTCGCCCCCTGGAGACCTCGTAAAACCGATTACCGATGACTGCGTATTTCCCTTTGACCTGCAAGCAGCAGCGGGCGGGAGCAGGTGCTCCGCGGGGCAGAGCTCCGCCCACCAACCCCCGGGACCGGCGCCCTGCGGGCCTGCGACCTGCGAAGTGGTGGGGGAGCTCACGAAGCCCCCGGGCGCTGCAGGGCCGCCGAAACATGGGCCGCTACCCATTTAGGAGATTAGTATTATTGCAAAATGGCTTTTCCGCCAGTTCTGGGTTTGATTTCTGTTCTGAGCCTTCACCTCAAGGCCAGGTGAGGCGGCCAGGCACGGTCGCAGGGCTTCCCCTCAGCGCCGGCGGGCTCGCAAAGGCCTCAGTCTCCCACTCTGCCGAATGGGCTCCGGGTCTGGGCTCTCAGCCGCGGGGAAGCTGTGGCGGCGGGAGGAGTGGGGGTGTCGTCCGGTCCCCGCCTCCCCGCCCGCAGGTGCGCCCACGCCCCCTGCCGCCAGGCAGAGACACGCGCACCCCGGCCCCGCCCCGGCCCCGCCCCGCGGGCTCATTTACATGCGGCCGCGGCCCCGCCCGGGGCGGCTAAAGCGACGTGTCCTTGTCCCCCGTGGGCAGCCCTGGCTCGTGCAGCTGCGGATCTCCAGGTAACTAGGGGTGGAGGATCCCGGTGGGACCGAGGGGAGAGGACCCACGGGCGGGAGCAGGTGGGGTCGGGGTGGGGGTTGGGGTGGGGGCGGGAATCCTGGGTGGGGAGGATTCACGCGGTGGGACTGGGGGCTGTGGTAGGCTCTGGCCACTGTCGACCTTTGACCGCAGACAGCTACCCCATGTCCACAGCGGTTCTGACTCCAGTGTCTTCCTGGCATGTGTGACATCCGCGATCAGTGTGGTGGCCGGAGTGGGTGCCTGTCCATGAGGGCAGACACAGCAGCCGCAGGCAGACCATGAGTTAGAGTCCCGCCACATCTCTACCTGGTCTGAGAAAAGTATTAAAAGCCACCTAAACTCCGGAGGCATTCAGGAGGGCAGTGAGACCCTGGGGGGACAGAGAAAGGTCCAGGGATCAGTGCATGTCCAGTTGAGGGGGCCCCAGATAGAGAAGTCTGAGGGGTCTCTGTGAGGTCAGACGGGAATGGGGGAAGGGTTGGCTCAGGGCTCCGTGTATGAATGGGAAGGACTCGGGGGTCACTGTGTGCCAAGTGGTCAGCTGTCATTGGGCAGTGGGAGGCTGCCGAGGACGGCTGCCCTGAGTGTCCACTGGGCGTCCTAAGCCTGCCTGCCGTGTGACCACAGGGTGGCCTGTGTTCTGGATTTCAGCTCCAAGGGCCTCCCTCAGAACCGCCACCCCCTGGGACAAGCAGCCTGGAGCCATGAAGACCAAGAATCGGCCCCCCAGGCGCCGGGTGCCCGCGCAGGACCCCGAGGCTGCCGCTGGGGCGCGGAGCCCGGACAGGCCCCAGCAGGGCTCGGGGCTGGAGCTGGCCAAGGGTCTGCGCAGCAGGACCGTGCGGGCACAGGGGGCGCGGGCCGAGGGTGGGCGCAGGCGGCCGGGGACCTCGGGACCTGGGGGCCGCCGGGAGAACAGCATCCAGCGGCGGCTGGAGAGCAATGAGCGCGAGCGGCAGCGCATGCACAAGCTGAACAACGCCTTCCAGGCGCTGCGAGAGGTCATCCCGCACGTCCGGGCCGACAAGAAGCTCTCCAAGATCGAGACGCTCACCCTGGCCAAGAACTACATCAAGTCGCTGACCTCCACCATTCTGACCATGTCCAGCGGCCGCCTCCCGGGCCTGGATGGGCCGGGCCCCAAGCTCTACCAGCATTATCAGCAGCAGCAGCAGGCGGTGGCTGGGGGCGCGCTGGGCACCACTGAGCCCCAGCCCGAAGGCCACCTGCAGAGGTACTCCACGCAGATCCACAGTTTCCGGGAGGGCTCCTAGCGCCTGGCCTGGGGGTCCACGGCCCAGCCCGGCCCTGCTGCCTCTGTGCCGAGAGCCCCAGTTTGGTGGGGACACCCCACGTGGATGTGGCCCCAGTGGCTCCATTTTCTCCGAACGCTCAGCTGCCTCCCTGGGGCACGTCCTGGTCCCCAGGGGATAAGATTAGTTGAGTGGCCTGCTTGAGGCCCTGGCTCTGGGCAGCAGGAGGCCCGAACCTTGACATAGGTCCCAGGACCTGCTTTTTAATGGACTAGGCCGCAGTTGACAGGCCTACTTTGTAACTAAATTCTCTCCAGTCCCAACTCCCTCCTGAGGCAAAGTGGGGGGTGATTCCAGGAAAAGGTCAACGTGGGTAAATTTCCACAGTTCCTGCTCAGGCCCAGGCACGGTCCCACTCCAACCTGCAATGTGGTCTCATTCAGGGTAAACTGAGGCACAGAGTAAGCAAAGGCTACGGCCATGGAGTGTGGCTAAGCCGAGATGATTGAAACGTGTAGCTCAGCGTGTGTCAGATAGAAACCCTCAAAACCCCACAAATCCTAATCTGATTACCTCAAATTAATTCTAAAGGGACCTTGGCAGGAAGAAGGGCTGGGATCTTTTCCTTCCTCCTCCTGGGTGGGGGATCTGGCCCGAGGGGCTGCAGCCCAGCGCTCCGGGGCTGGAGACAGGTCTGGCAGATGGCCAGGAGTGACCTCGGCAATTACTGCTTTGCCATATTTGTCACTGCTGTGGTTGTATCCCCGGCAGAGGACGGCTGACAGAACTGCGGGGTGTTCTCGGGCCCTGGCTGGGGTCGGAGGCTCTCCAGGGCTCTCTGGGGGAGAGAGCCTGGGGTGGCAGGAGCTCCCCTCCCCCGCCTGGTGCTGCTCCTTAAAGGCGGGCCTGGGCAGTTTGGCAGGTACCCCTGCCGCCTGGGGCCAAGCTTCCTTCTGTGGCGTTTCTGCCCGTTCTGGCTCTGGCCCTGACGGGCTTGGCGACTTGGCCCTCAACACCCCTCTGGCATCTCTCCTCCTTCATCCCTGTGCCCACAGCCAATATGGGGAGGGGACCGGGCAACCTTGGCAGCCACGGGCAGGAACCCCACCGACAAGAGCTGTAGTGAGGGTAGAGTTGGCCTGGCATAGGCGACTAGACCTCACAGCCAGAGCTGTGCCCGAAGCCATCAGGGGGCTGAGCCCTCTGGGAGCAGAGCACCTCAGCCTCCCAGCCCTGGTGTCCCGGCCCCAGCCGCTGCATCCACGGCCTGGCTTGGTGTCAGCATCAAGGACAGCAGGCGGCAGCCCTCAAACAGCCATTTTGGGCTTCAGTCCTGACTTTCCGGGTCGGACACCGGCCAGGCCCTTCCCGGGCCCCACGCCTGGCCCCCTGGGCACCCTGGTCCAATGCCGGCCCCACCGCCCCAGCCATCCTGCAACACCGTTGGGGGGGGGGGGGCGGGTACCCCTGGCCTGCCCCTCAGAGGTAGCCGCTCTGGAAGGTCAGTGGTAGGACCCCCCCAGCGATGGGAGCCAAGGTTGAGGACCACTTTGAGATCAGGATGGCCTGCAAATCTCACAGTTCTTATTCCAGCTGGGCTGAGGCCAGAGCAGGGGCTTCGTGCACCCCTGAACTTGCTGAGTGAACCGACAGGCTGAGCCGAAAGCACGAGGGGTGCCCCGCGGATGCTCTGTCCAGGGTACCATGCCCATTGATCAAGGGGGGTGGGAGGGGCTGTGTGTGGGTCACCACCGTGCAGATGACAGCCTTCAGAGCTCCTTCTGTCCCAAACTGGCACACACATCCCCTCTGCTTCCCAGAGGGTGACCTGGGCCCAGATGTCTGGTCCTTCTTCCCCCTTGACCATGTCACAAAGGACCCTTAAAAGTTCCAGTCGCACTTTCAGGTGTTAAGTACGGGGGGCAGGGCAGGTTCAGTTCTGGTGATAGGCTGGTGAGGCCTGGATCTGCTCCCTTGACCCTTGTCTCGGACCCCAAGTCAGCTGGACCCTTCTGCCCGGGGAGGGCTCCCAAAGCCAGCAACCCACGGGCTCCAAGCCCTACCAGCTGGCCTGTACCCGGGCCTTGCATCCGCCTGCAGACCAGACCTGTGTGAGCTCCGGAGGCCGAGATCCCCATGGAATGCAGCTGAGAAACCGGAACTGTGACTTCTGTGTGTGGGAAACCCTGCCCCGGCTGCAATTGTGGTGAAGATGTTCCTTAAATGACCCGAATTTGCTTTGATTTCTCCTAATGGCCCCTTCAAAGTAGTAATGAAACCAATGCTGTGTCATTAAAAAAAAGAGAGAGATTTTACTGTGACTGCTAACTTTTGCCCCGGGCTGGAAATGCACGGGGAACTGCATTTTGATCATAACATAGCAATAAAAAAATAGCATGTCGTTTACACTCTGGTGTGACTTTTTATTGAATAAAGAGCATCCAAGGAATCGGGATGGTTCAGTGGGGCCGAGCAGGTAAGACAGTGGGTGCTCAGTGGGACGCAGTCGCCCTGGAGCAAGGGCAAGGTGAAACCAGCTACAGGAGAGTGCGTCACAGAGAATGGCAGGTTGCTGCTGTAGAAGAAATCGACGAGGCCATCCGGACACAACCAGCTGGTGAGATGTAAACAGACAGGACCGTGTCCCCCAGCCCATGCTCACGCCTCCTGGTACCACATCCAGAATTCACGGCAATGCAGAGACAGACCATCAGCTCCCTCCAGGGACCCTTCGGGTGGCGGGGACCCCAGAGGTGACCTCCTCTGAGTCAGCCTCTGGGGGACAAATCCCTGCATGGCCCAATGGGATCAAATGCACAGCTGACCCCTCCTGATGCGAATCCCAGGGAAGGCTGGGGGCAGTTCTGTTCCAAAACCAGCAGAGATGAGCTTGGGCTCTAATGGCCTCCAGACAAAGAGTCTGGTGCAGGAAGCAAACTTGGGGCTTCACCAGTGGAGCCATAATCAAATAAAAAGCAGCAGAAAAGCTGGTTTTTATTCAAGGAGCTTTCCTACTGGCCTGGCGGGGAAGGCTCTTGCCCTGGAGTGTCGGCTTCAGGGCTGCGGCCTGCACACCCCATGTCTCTATGGCCCCCTATGCAGTGTGATCAGACACGATAGGGGCTGCCCCCTAGAGCTGCTGGGGGAAAGGCCAGCTGAGAGCAGATGCCCACAGTTCTCTGCATGTGGACAGTGTCCCCGTGCACCCCTGTGCCCATCCAAGAAAAAGACGCCCCTCCCCAGCCTTCACTCCCAAGCTGTCAACTCGTGCTGACCTTTTGAAATTTACCATATTTGTGAGTCTGGCTCTGAGAAAGGATGACAGAATGGGGCAAAGCGGCCATGAGCCCCATAAGCCATTTTCTTGGGGGGAGGGGCAGTACCCTGGTGCTGGCTGGGGACACCCAGGGCCTCATGGGCTCAGCTTCCCTGGAAGGCTCCAGGCTCCCTTTCTGGAAAGGCAGGAGGCATGTGGGGAGGGAAAGGCGGGAGAGGCTGGGGTGAAGGGGCCCCCACCCCGCTCCATGGTCCTCCTGGCAGACAAGGACACTGCGGAGCATCCGCAAAGCTTCACATTTCTGGGCTGGTTCAGCCAGAGCTTCCGAGGTGGCTGTGACCTCAGGCCAGGTTCCCTCCAGGATCCACATTCAATGGCTCAGACGGGAAGGCTCATCCTTGATCCTTCACACCTGCGTGAAGCCTGCTTCCAGGTGCAGGGAGGCAGCTTAGCAGCAGATGGGGCCAGGGGCCTCCTGCGCGGCTCCGGCCACCCCTGAGGGCGCGCTGGGGAGGCCCTGCTCCACAGCGCACTGGGCAGCTCTCTCCTGGGACCTGCCCCTGAGGGCTCTGGTGGCATTGGCCCGGACGGAGATGTGATCCCAGCCCCCCTGGAGGGAGAGAGCCTTGTCACCCATGGCTGCAGGGAGGCTGCAGGGGGCCCAGGGGAGAGACCAGGAAATCAAGGGTGCCGGAGGGGCTGTGTCTGGGACCTCCCACCACCCCCAGCGCCAGGTCCCGGTGCACACAGTGTGACCACGCTGCCCCAGACCAGCCTTGCTCACCCCGATACCGTAGTCCCAGCCCTGCCCCTTGGGCTCTCGAGGCCGCACCCCTGTGCGATGACAGACGGTCCCCCGGCTCAGGCTATGGCTCCCCTGGACCTTGTTGGCGATAACCCAGACCTGGAATGCAGACCCGTTGAAGGCCCGGCCCCCAGCTTCAGGCAGACTTCGGGGGTGGCAACAGGGAGACCAGAGCAAGGACCCAGAACACCCCAACCCCACCTCGGGCCCCGGCCCCTCACCCAGGCACCCAGACCTGGTCCAGGGGCCCCACGGACACTCGGCGCACGTTGTTGGACACATGCTCCCAGCTGGAGCCCTGCGGGTAGCTGGGCGTCACCCCCTGCCGATACCACAGGTTCCCTGGGGAGAGAAGGCCCAGAGGATTAGGACGGGGATGGAGGGGGCCGTCCCACACTTCTGGGGTCTCCTGCCTCCCCAGGGAGAAAGCAGCTCAGGCCTGAGCCGCTCTGTCCTCTGTGCTCCACCTGAGCCCCTTAATCGTCTCACTGGGCCCGGCTGGCAAGGCCCTGCTCTCTACGCATGAGAAACTGAGGACAAGGAATTCTTTGAACAAACACAAAGAGGCCTGGACGCCAAGCCCTGGTTCCAGCCCCGACTCTGCCCTTTCTCCACCTTGCTTTGCGACAACAGCTGCAGAGCAGAAACGGGAGCTGGCGAGATCCCTGCCAGAGGTGGCAAAGGTAGGCGGCCTCCGCCAACCCCAAGCTGCCCATGGGGCTCCCACGTGGCTGGCCTATGTGGCCCCCTCTGGGAGGCGCTCCCAGTGGCCACGCAGCATCACGTGGCCTCACCCCGCACCCTCTGCCGAGGCCTAGGCACACCTGACCACCCTGCACCGCTTGGGAGACAGGCTTGTTCCGAGGCTGAGGCCTCTCGTGGGGGCTTAGGAAGGTCTTGCATCAGGGACCTGGGGTGAGGAGGGTCTCATCCCACCGGGGCGGCTTAGGGAACCCCTAATCTCCCCTGGTGGCTACTGAGGATCAGAAACAACTTGCCGTTTTCGTCCAAGGCATACACTGACGTCTG